TAGCAACCCGTAATATGCAGATGACATAACTTTGCTTGCTGAAAATAAAGATGACCTGAGCACTTACTGATGAAGATTAAACACTATAGTCTGCAGTACAGATTACACTTCAACATAAAGAAAATGAAAATCCTTACAACTGGACCAATAAGCAGCATTACGATAAATGGAGAAAAGATTGAAGTTGTCAAAGATTTCATATTACGTGGTTTCACAATCAACACCAATGGAAACAGCAGTCAAGAAATCAGATGGTGTATTACACTGGGCAAATCTGTTGCAAAAGACCTCTTTGAAGTGCTGAAAAGCAAAGTTGTCTTTTTGAAGACTAGGGTGCACCTAACCCGCATGATGGTGTTTTCAATCTCCTCATATACATGTGAAAGCTGGACAAGGAATAAGGAAGATCGAAGAAGAGTTGATGTTTTTGAGTTGTGGTGTTGGCAAAGAATACTAAAAGTACCATGGACTGCCAGAAGAACAAACAAATCTGTCTTGGAAGAACTGCAGTCGGAATGCTCCTTGTACGCAAGATTGGCCAGGCTTCGTCTCACCTACATTGGTCATGTTGTCAGAAGGGACCATTCCCTGGAAAAGGATCTCATGCTTAGTAAAGTGGACTGTTAGCAAAAAATGGGAAGGCCCTGAATGAGACGGTTTGACACAGTGGCTGCAATGATGGGCTCAGGCATAGCAGGGATTGTGAGGCGGGCACAGGACCAGGAGTGTTTTGTTGTATTGTACGCAGGGTCGCTATGAGCTGGAGGTGACTCTACAGCACCTAACAACAACATGTACATCTGTAGCCAATGTTACATAAACTCATTTGATAATTATTAGTTAGATAACTACTATGTTGGAACTACCATGTAGTACTATGTTCTACGTAGCATATTGTAGATGCTGTTTTGCAAAAAAAAAAAAAAAAAAAAATTAGAGTTAAAAATTGGAAAATACATGGGAAAAAAATCAGTTCTGTAAAGGATCCAACGTTTTTTTGGCCAAGTCTTGTCTGACATACTTTGGTATTGGATAATTTTATCTTAACATATTTGTCTAAATCCCCAGGATGAAGATATAATACTTCTACCTGTTAAGACCACAGATCTAAGGCATGGGCTTTTCCTTTCCAGTATTTAGTTAAAATATTTCCCATATATCAGAAAGCAAAGACTGCATTCATTGGCTTTGCCATGGAACGCCATCTCCTGACAATAGCCCTTGAATGTAAGAATGAGAAAGGGAAGGTCACACTTACTTTGGTTTTTGTAATAGGGCAATGTTCTGAAAGCCAGAAATGATGTGTGAAAGGAGACTAAAAAACCAGAAGAAATGTATTTCCACCCAGCCTGGGCAAATCTTCCTGGAAGCAGAGATAAGAAAGAAAATGAAAAAATCCACTCCTTTAGAAAAAAAAATAAGTCTTTAACCTATGGGTTGGTTGATTCTGTTGTGGTCTCATCTCCAACTAAATATGTTGCCAAGACTTTTAAGTAGAGAGAGAGAGTATTGAACAGGAAGCAACTGGGGAAGGGATGATCTAGCTCAGACATCAATAATTCATTTATGGGAAAGAGGAGTAACTGTATGAAATGCCAGGAGGCTGTTTCATTTACAGGGAGGGCATTTTCTATTTTAAGCCTAGAACAATGTAGTCCATTTTACTTGACAAGCCAATATGAATGGATGAAAAGCTGAATAGGAAGACAGGTTTTTATAGTTTCCTCTAATAATGCTATTTCTTCACCATCAATTATTTAGGTCTCACATGCCACCATTTGGGTACTTTAAAAAGTGATAAGAAAAGGATTTTTAAAACTTTTGCACTTCAAAGGTGATTTCCTTTATCCCAAATCTTTAGCATTACAACAGTAATCATGCAAGTCTGGATGATTTGCATGCAGGTTTGAGGTTACTTTCTCTTAGTCCTGAAAACCATTCAGGCATTACAACTTCTAAGCCACCTTCCAATTTAACCCCAATAGTAGTCTATTTTATTTTAGCATTGTATTCCCCAGGCATTTAGCAGGGTTTCAGAGAACACTTGTTGAAAGAATGAACAAATGCAACCGAGTCTAAAATAATTCCAAATATTCTCTAAAGCCCATAAGATTGGTTGCAGAATGAGGAGGAGGCACCTGTACAGTAACATATGCCTCACATTCCTCAGTTCTGACCATGATTAGAAACTCCTCACCCTTACTATATGATATCAAATTATAGGGCTCATGGTCCACTGGGAGATGGAGAAATGAAATTAAAGTAGTATAGCCTGAATGAGTCATAGCTCCCAGTCCCAAGCAGAAAAATCTATAAAGCTCTAACCCTATAAAATAAACAGATTTCCATGTCTTAATTTAAGTTCAAAATGTTCATATGCACACAAATTTTGAGGCACCACTCACCAAGAATTGAATATATGAATCGAAACCATAATTATAGCAAGAACTGCTACTACTTATCCAGCAAACATATATTCACACATAGATATACAGATATAGATATCACATTGGAAGAAATGTGCATTATGCCTGGTATTTTACTGACAATCTTTACATGCGTTATTGTGCCTGTTTAAGAGATTTAAAAAAATAGAGAGAATAAAAGCTCAGTGTAGACAGGCCCAAAGGCCATAAAGTTAATCAGAGAGAGCCGGGGCTAAAAGTGGACTCTTTTAAACTACAAACCCATTCTATTTCCAAATGCCAAGGGACCTCTATTTACACAGAATTATCTATCCATGGATCTATGCATAAAACAGAGGTGGAGAGTGCTGGTGTTGAACCTCTGAAAATATCAAATCTCACTGTCAAGATCATCAATTTAAGCACATATCTGGTAAAACATTTGTATTCTCCAATTATCAAACTCCCACTACACTCGATGAATCATGGACAGTGCTTGGAGTGGGTAATGAAGTGGCAGAAGAATATCCTGTAGTGAGTAGGACCAAGGTAATCCTTTTTGAACAGAGTTCTTGGTGATAGTCAAGTTTGAAGAATATAGTTTTTAAAAGGTACTCTGCAAAAAGCCATCAAAGACAAAATTTAAAAATTGTTTCTACACATAGACAACATAAAGATAATGGTAGTCAAAGACTAGCCACACCCTTGGAGAACAGTGACCATCACGCCCAAGTTTTGTATGCAAAAACGACATGTGTAGTTTTAAATAGAGCTGGCTACAGGATTCAACTGATTTTCAGTTTCTAGCAATAGACCCTCTTGTCCATTAAAACAGGTGCATTCAAATACGTTGGATGTCACATGACCTAGACTTTCCTATTCTTAGTTTTCTCATTTCTCTTTTTCCTATACAAACGTTGATTTATGAGCTTCCTATCTTTCTTTTTCTTTTAATGTGGCACTCATGAAGTTTTTTGAGTGTTGTGCCCCAATTTCATTACCCTAAAGCCTTGTGTTTATAGATTTTGCAGAGGGTTATTATTTTTAGTACCACAGATGTCGCATGATAGCAAAATGGACTGCATAATTAAATTTATCTGTTGTGACTTTCTAACTATTCAGAGATACAAATTTCTTCTTTAGAGTGTTTTGCGCTAGTTTTTAAAATAGGTTAAACTGCTGTAGCTCACTTTGTCTGAAACTGTAACACTGTGAAATTCACTAACTTTAACCACTGTAAACTAGATAGCAAAAGCCAGGTCTGAAGGAAAAACACTTGGCACAATTTAGGTCCCTTTGTATTTTTTCTCAGAATGTTGTGGAAAACTCCATCTACCTCAGCTTGTTTATTAGTATGCTCACCATTAAATATGATTCATAATATTTACTTGGTTGTTAATATTAAAAAGCAGCCTGTTTGTCACAGCACTTCGTTGAGGTTTGGTTTGGTATTTTGTGGGCAGTAATAAAAAGCCACATATGTTGCCACAATCTCCTAAATAGTGTGGTTTTATCTAAACTCATTGACTTACTTAATCAAATCATACTCGCTGAGAAAATTTTCCCTGAAGAAAAAAGCAGACTGGAAATGGCACACAACAAGTGAGCAAAACCTCTCTCTATAACTTTTGTGTTCCTGAACTAAAACATGTACATATATATTCAAAGAGCTTTGCAGTAAAAGGGCGGGGGGGGGATGTTAATTAACATGACATAAACCAAAAACCAAACCCACTGGTGTCAAGTTGATTCTGACTCATAGCGACTCTCAATGGGTTTCTGAGGCGATAAATCTTTATGGAAGTAGATCGCCCAGTCTTGCTCTGTGGAGTGACTGGTGGCTTTGAACTGCCAAACTTCTGGTTAGCAGTCAGGTGCCTTAGGCACTGTGCTACCAGAGCTCCTTAATATGACACAGAGAGTGGAAATATCTAATAATCTTTTAAAGAATCTAAGTCATTTTAAGTAAGGAAAACCTTCCTCCTTACTTTCTGAAGCCTATTAGGATGTGATATGTTATCTCATAGATGAGTATTTTCATTACAACTACTGTAGTAGCTGCAAAGTACAAATGTGATTAAATGGTTTCTGTTCCTCATGTCTATACGCAATCCTTGTAGGTATATCAGGTATATTAGTGGAAAATACAATCACTACAGAGTAGAATAGAATTAAGGAGACACAAAGTAAGAAAGTCCCTGGCAGAGACCTCAAAGAAAGTAGATATCCAATCAAATGTGTTGAATTTAATAGAAAATAAACTCTTTTCGTTTTGCTTCTGCTTTTAGAATCAGACGCCCACAAAAATATGTCACGTGCTAATTTTTATGACCGGCCACACTCCCCAGTTCTACTCTCAAGAGTTAAAAGTGCTGGGTCCTTCCATAGGCTCACTCTGTGCTTCTCACTATGTGGACCACCCTTTTTTATTAGCTAGAATGCTCAGTGGAGAACCAGTTGTTTATATTGGAGCAAATTAGGGATCATTTTTTACCAAGGCTTTCCAAGAAAATACTTCCCTCAGCAAGAACAGAAAGCAAAGCTTCAGGCAGGCCTTGCCAGACACACACCAGCCACCCCTCACGTGGGCCTTACTTGTTTTCATTGCTTGCATCATAACGAGGCATTGGGTCCAAGTCATTTCCATTCACGTCACAACTTGCCAGAGCATCCTTTGGCCACAGAGGAGAGAAAGGAAATGGACGTTCATTAATTAGCCACTGACCTGCAGGCTCATGCATTCTTAAACACATTTCTGCAAGAGAGTAATTAGGTTAACTGAGACACTCATGGTTCAGTGGTATCAGGCCACCTTAGGGAGGGATCGCCTCTCCAATAATAATCGGTGTTGTATTTTTCCCGTGTAAAGGGAAGAAATACTCTACACAGACCATACAAGTGCCCTTCCCCATTCTTGCTGGGACTTGTCCCCTCATATCTCACCTCACACCTGGACTTGACCCTCTCAACTCAATTCACAAAATGTGTACCTATCAGAGATGGCATTTGCAATTACCACCTTTTCTGGGAAGTATTCCTTGACTTCCTAGAAAAGTGATTTATTCCTGTGGACTTTCTTCCTATTCCTTAATTCATGTCTTGAGCATGCAACTTCCTTAGCATAATTCAAAGAATTTAGAAGGCAGAAAATAATTCAACTATAATTGGCAAGCCAATTATAAATCCTATTAGGTATTTATTAAATCAAGTATGTTGGGACTTCCACTTGTCTGGTTTCAGATATTTTATCTACTACAAAAGATAATACTACTTTTTATGAATTCCCAATGAACTTTTGCCCCAACAAAGTTTTATTTTATGCCAAAATTTCAAATTAAGGCATATCTCCAAAGCCAGTTGTATTTGTTTGCTTTTAAAAAATGATTGTGAAACATCGTCAAATTACTAAGAAGATTTTACTGAATTGGTACCATTGTTCAAATTCATATCACTGCAAATAACCTAATTTAGGACGTTTTAAATTTTCTAATGAGGGGCTCTGGTGGCACAGTGGTTAAACACTAGGCTGCTAAGCAAAAGATTGACAACTCAAACCCACCAGCTGCTCTGTGGGAGAAAGATGCGGCAAGCTACTCTCATGAAGATTTACAGCCTTGGAAACCCTAGGGGAAAGTTCTACTCTGTCATACAGGGTTGCTATGAGTCAGAATTGACTCAATGGCAATGGGTTTCATTTTCAGTTTGGTGATTTTCTTATGTTTTATGATTACTCCTGCACCATTAATGGCATAGGTAATTGTACAGAATTTTCTTTCAAGGGGGAAAAAAAAAAAAAGAAAAAGAAAAAGTAAAGAAGGAAATCACAATTAGTCTGTTTATGTTTGATCAAATATATTATTCAGTGAGGAGCAGGGATAAACTATAACGCCCCTTTGCATACAACAAGAAAGACCCCTAAGCTTAGAGACAGGTAACTATTTTTATATGTGACCTTGGAAAACTCATGTCAGCCTTCAAATATCAGTTTCTTCACCTATGAAATGAATAGAATTAACTGACCTTCTCTTTATTTCTAGAGTTCAGCACTGTAAATAACCACAAAGCTATAGGACTATACTTCAAGACCAGGGTGAGAACATTTTTTTGTTCAAATGCGAACTTAAGAAATTTGCAGTTCCTTCATAAGAAAAGGAATCGACTAATACCTACAGACCACAGTGAGGCTGATCATTACTGCTCTTAAAAACAGGAGAGGCAGAGAGAGAAAGATATCAGCAGAATAACTTGAGGAAAGTTATAATAACATTTTTCTCAATAAAGGAAACAAAGAGTGTTGCTTGGCTATTTTGGTGAATTGTTGAAAACTGTGGCTTTTATAGGGAGCTCTGGTGACGTAGTGTCTAAGGCATTTGACTGCTAACCAGAAGGCAAGCAGTTCAAACCCACCAGCCACAGCCCAGAAGGAAGGTTGGGCAATCTACTTCTGTAGTGATAGTGCCTCAGAAACCCAAGGGTGGTCACTATGAGTCAGATCTGACTCCACAGCAGTGAGTTTGGTTTTTTTATTTGGCAGCTCTTATGGGTAGCAAGATGGTGTTGGTGATGGAGTTTCTGCTATCTTGTTATGTTATGTGCCGTTGAGTCACCTGCTTTCCAGGTCAGCCCATCATAGGCCCTGGACAGTTTAATGTGTTGTCTCATGCTTCCTGCATTCTAAAAGTGTATCATTTACAAGGAAGAAGCAATACATAGAGACTATTGTACCTGTCAGTTGCATTTTTCAGTAGCTTTCCCCCTTTCTGATAATCCTAACATGAATTGCCTAGCTCCCAGGAAAGGGCGGCAGTCTAACCACAGCAAACACGCACATAGTTCTGCATCAGGTCCGGGTGGGTCCTCTCAATGCCATCGTCCAGGATGGTGACCACAATGTTCTTTCCCGTGTAACCTCTCTTCCAGGCTCCTTCAATATTCATGTCTGACTGGCAGGGATGTGTGTTGTCACTGCAGTGCTAAAGAAGAAAGAAGGAATACTGGGCATTAGAGGTTACACCAGAGCTCCCAGAGATTACTGAATAGTTAGGTGAGGGGAGAATTAACCTAGTTGTTGAGATAATGCATTAAATTATCCGCAATTTGGTATTGCCAGGAAACATGGATCTTTCCCTTAACCAACAGGGGAAGGTAGGAAGGCGAGGTGTGGGTAAAATAAGAGAAATATAAATCTCTTCCACAGTTCTGATGCTGTGTTGCCTTAAATCCCATGGAAGAATAAAATAAAATAAAGTCTATCTGAACAGCAATATAATGGAGATATCATTATTTCACACTGGCATATACTAGTGACACATGGAATAACTTTAGATAAGCATCATAGAATTTCATTTATAAATCCAAGCCAGGTAACTGAAGAATACATACTTTATAATTTCTTAACCAGTCACCTAGATACCAACCGAGCTATAAATGAGAAGTAACTTCAGGCAGCTTTTGTACAGTGTCAGCCAGGTGTGCTACTATGAGAAACCTATGATTGAGAGAAAATAACAGGTTCTTCACCTTCCTTCAATACATTAACAATGGCTCCTGTACCCTAATTTGTGGGGGACAGAGTGCCGCTTTCAGGGCTACTTTGAGGAGGGAAAGAAGAACAGCACAAAGTGCAGAAAGTTGGATGTACACTATGTACACAGGAGAATGTGTATGAGGGCTTTCAAGGGCAGGCTGTGAAAACATCGAACCTGAGCTCATTACATGTAGCAATTTTATTGCATGATGGCAACAAAAACATATTGAGAAATGAATTAAACCAGCAGCTTTTCCCACTATAATTTACTAGCATTCGTCCAACCCACACAATTGTTCTTTCAAACGCCATCTCTTTGAAATATCCTTCTGAGTGGTGTTGTTTTCCAGGTTCTTAAGACTCAGAAAAGGAATAAAGGAAAAGAGATGTGCTGAAACGTAATGCCATAGCAACAAGACCACCCCAGGTTTCACCATTCACTCTTTTCTGCCTGGTTTGTGATGCTTTAGAACTTGTGAAGAGAAGAGAATGCAGAGCATTGTATGCTCGAAGCATAATAGAGACCCCACTGCGACTGATTCACTTCACACACACTTCATTGAGTGCCTGCGACATGCTGAGGGGTTTGGGGTGAAAAAGGCACAGGAGGTCCTTGCCCTAACAACCCTCTAGGGAGGAGACATAGATAATAAATAAATAAACAAGACCATACGGAGTGCTCCTTGTGTTTCAAAGGAATTTAAGAGGATATGATGATGAAAGTGGGAGTTCTGGGTACCGGACTTCAGGGAAGATGGTCAGAAAAAGAGTCCACTCTCCTGAGAAATGAAATGTGAGCTGAGCTGTGACTGATGACAAAGAACCAGTTTGCCCAGAACCCTGTGGACAAGTGTCCTGGAAGAGGGACCAGCAAATGCAAAATTTGCTTGAAGCAGGAAAGAGCTTAACACACTGAAGAAAGCAAGAAGGCTGGTGTTGATGAAGCAGTGTGAATGAGGGTGAGAATGGCAGCAAAGGCAGGAAATTAGAAGGGGAGACGAGGTCAGATAGTGTAGCTTTGTAGGCCATGACTTGGCTTTGCTTCCAGGTACAACCTAAATGGGGGCTCATTTTTTTCCATATCTTATCCCTCAATATCAAATGTTAACTAGTGACAGATACTCCCAAAACTCTCTGACAGGAATGTATTAATTTATTCCCCAAATAAGATTGGCTTTTGTTGAATGCAACAAATACATTTGACTAATTTCAAGGGTTCATTCTAAGAAAAGGGATTATACAGTTTTCATGAGAGACAATACCAATTTCATACAGAAGTGAGATCGATATATTTTGATGGACATTTCTATTTTCTTCTTAACTTCTTGGCTTCTTTTTGTCATTAGATGCCTAAACACATGTTTCCATCTCAAAACCCAAATTCCACTCCCCCCACTGCCCTAGTTTTCTGGGTGCATCTCAAGTCCTAACTCTGCCCACGAAGTTCTTCAGCCTACTTGTCTCTTCCCCTTCCCTGAACTTAAGGATACACATACAGATTCTGTTCTACAACCCCTACTCACATATTCTATTGAATTGCTGTTTACTGTTGAGTCCTGGGTGCTAGTTTTGACTCCTTGATTGTTAAGCACATAAAAGACCATGCATTAAACTAAGTCTAACCTAAAAACACACACAAAACAAACAAACAAACAAACCGGTTGCCACTAAGTCAATTCTGACTCATGGTGACCTCCTGTGTTTCAGAGTAGAACTGTGTTCCACAGGGTTTTCATGGCTGTAATCTTTTGAAAACTTATCATCATAACTTTCTTCCAAAGCACTTCTGGATGAGTTTGAACTGCCAATCTTTCAGTTAGTAGCCCAGCACTTCATGGTTTACACCACCCAAAGTTCTAGTAAATATTGAGTAATTAATTACACATAAAAGATGAGGACATATCCTCAACTTTATTTCCAAGTTCAAAACTGCCATTATGCTTACTGCTCGGACCTTGGTTAGCTGAGATGATAATGAAGGAAATGGTGTGGATTTCCAAAATACTTATGTTTTTCAGAAGACTAATTCAGGCCAAGAGTTTGGGCCTCTCCTCACCAAATATTTTAATTTAACACAAAGCAACCTTGACAGGTTTCCATTTCATTTTCTTTTCAAAACCTGCTTTGGCCACCTGTAGTATCAATTGTGACACAGAGTAATGTTAATGTGGCCAAGAGGTGGGCTGTAGGAAGGAAATGCACAGGAAATGGGTAATTCACAAATGGGATAACCATCCTGGAGTGGAGGGATGCTGCCTGAGATTGTAATTATGAAAACTGAAGAAAACCAGCCATCTATGAAAAACATGTGTGGTGAAAGTGGAGCACTTAGGTTTCTTTCTTCAACCTCTGTTTCTGTTGAATCTGTCTTTACCATTAAATAGTCTTACACCACTGTTTCCTTTTTCTCCCTTTCATCTACCTCCTCAGTACTGGTGGGAGGTAAAGGAGAGGAAATATCCAATGGATAGTTGCCTTTGGATAATCTAATATAGTGAGTAGCCAAAATATCAAAGGTTAAAAGAAAATTATAGGTTTATCAGAGCCTGGGATGTTTCTTAGAAATGAGATAAAAAGTGAGAGAACCCTTAGATCAGAACCCTAAATTCTAAATGTGAACTGTAGATTTTTAAAAAGTTTGACCATAAAATGTATATATATATATATATATATATATATATATATATATATATATATATACATATATTGTTGTTATGTGCCATTGAGTGTGTGTGTATGTATGTATATGTGTGCGTGTGTGTGTGTGTGTGTGTATAAGCTCTGGTGGCTCAGTGCCTAAGGTATTTGACTGCTAACCAGATAACCAGAAGGCTGGTGGTTTAAACTCACCAGCCCACTCCTCAAAAGGGAGGTTGGGCAAGCTACTTCTGTAGTGATTATTGCCTTGGAAACACAAGGAGGGGTCACTATGAATCAGATCTGATTCCATGGCAGTGAGTTTGGTATATGTGTGTGTGTACACACACACACACACAATTTTCCATATTAAGCATTTTTAAGTATATACTTCAATGATATTAATTAATATTTACCAGACTGTACAACCATCACTATTTTCAAAACTTTTTCATCAGCCCAAATAGAAAGTCAGTACCCATTAAGCAATTACTCCCTATTACCCCTTCTCTTTCATCTCCTAGCAACCACTAATAAACTTGACTCCATGCACTCATTTACCTGTTCCAGATATTTCATGTGAGATTATACAATGTTTATCCTTTTGTGTCTGACTTACTTAACACAACGTTTTTTAAGGTTCTTTCATGTTATAACATGTATCAAAATTTCATTATAGCTGAATAATATTCCAGTGTGTGTATTTACCACATTTTGTTTATCTATGCATCTGTTGATGTATATTTGGGCTGTTTCCACTTTTTGGATATCGTGAATAGTGTTGCAATGAATATTGATGCACAAATGTGGAATCTATTCTGTTGTGTATATGCTTAGGAGGGTGAACTGTAGATTTTTTTCCCACTATTTTTTTAAATTGTGAAATATATATGTAACAAAACATTTGCCATTTCAACAATCTTCACATGTACAATTCAGTGACAATTTTATTCATCACATTGTTTAATCATCATCCTTAACCGTTCCCCAATTTTTCCATCATCCTTATCAGAAACTCATGTCCCCCTAAGCATTATATCTTCTTTCCCCACTGCTTCCTGTCCTGGTAACCAGTAATAATAATAAACTTTGGTCTCTATATGCTTGCCCATTATATATTATTGTATATAATTAACAGCATACTGTATTTGTCCCTTTGTGACTAACTTTTTTCACTCAGCATAATGTTTTTAAGGTTCATCCATGTTGCAGCATGTATCATGACTTCAGTTCTCTTTATCACTGAATAATATTTCATTGTATATATGTACTAAAATTTGTTTATCTATTCACCTGCTGATGGACACTTACACTGTTTCCATCTTTTGGCTATTGTCAAGAGTGTTGTACTGAACACTGGTGTACAAATATATGTTTGCATTGCTGCTTTCAATTCTTTTGGGTATGTACACAGGAGTGGGAGCTATAGATTTTTAACACCTATTTCAAGTGATCCAGGATTCCAAACATGTTTTTAATACAATTGTTCAAATATTAAAGATACCACAAAGCAAAGACAATGGGATTTCAGTAATACTGACCAAGGATGAGAACAAGTTATTCATTTCTATAACTGCCTGACAGAAATAGTCTTTAAACAGCACCCTATTTAAATGAAAGGAATCTACATTAAATCAGCATCCAGTGACAAAAGGGACATACATTAGCCACGATTCTCTCATTCATAGTCCACCATATTGAAAAGACCATTGCCAGAACTAGAACTAAACAGTAATGCCTGGAATTGTTACCACAGATTCAGTCCATAGCCTGATGTTCACAAAATGAACTAGTTAGTCAGAAACATCC